TTTTAAGTATGGGAAATATCAAATAGATGTAAGCAAAAAGCTTTCTTATACCAAGACTACCATATTTGCTGCCAGAATCTTTCTCAGGCAAGAAACTCCCAGGGTACCTTCTTTTTAGTGATTAAACCAGATATTCTCTATCTTGTATAACCTCAATAGTTCACAGTTTGTCAGGTAATTTTTATACAGTTGAATTCAATTTAAAAAGAAAAGCAGGAAATATTTTATAGGACTAAAACAAATTTAAATGCATTCAATACAAGTTTCCTCTTGCCTGAAGACAAAGTGACCTTGAAACATCCCAAAACAAAATAAGCAAGTCAAACAGGTTTGACGGAAGAGAGTTTAACCCTCTAGCTCTTCCTTACCATCACCCAGCAGAGCCCTAGCTACTTTACCCTACACTGCTGTTTCCTGTATTGTGATTTTTCACAGGTAATTATTAAACATATAAATGTATATTGGAAATAACATCCCTTAATGAAATTCGTGAAAGAAAAATGTAGCTTTTGTGGTATGCCAGCTAAAAGAATAAGACCCAGGGTCAAATCACAGCACCCACACAGCAGCTAACAGCTGTCCTCAACTCCAGTTCCAGGGGGTCCTACAGCCTCTTCTGTCCTCTGAGGACATTGCACGACACGGGTTCAGTTACCTACATGCAGGCAATACACGCATACACATAAAATAAAAGTAATAAATAAAATATTAAAAAAAAAGATTTGACCCTAGAGGATTTCTCAACTCAGGGCCATGAGTGACAGTTAAACTTAGAGGAGTCTTTCCTGTACAAGATTGTGAAAGGGAAGTGCTTACCCTCAGGCACCTTCGCAGGCAGACCAGTTTGAGAAAAATATGAAAGACCTAGATGGAAATTAATTCCTCTAAAATATATAGCCAGGAGTGGTGGCTCATGCCTGTAATTTCAGCACTTGGGAGGTGGAGGCAGGAACATCAGGAGTTAAGGTCATCTTTGGCTACACGTTGGAGGCCAGCCTGGGGGGGTACATGAGACTCTGTCTCAAAAAGGAAATGTGATAATGGTCAGACATCAGCAAGATAGTAGAGGAGTTTCCAGTGCTTATTTCCTTGAAAATGAACCAAGCAGTTCTGTACACACAAAATGGCTTCACCAGAGCTAAGGAAGCCAGTTGAGGTAGTGAGTGGACATGGAACAGAAATAAAGATGAATTCGGGGGGAGCCAAATCCCCTACTCCAATCTCAGGCAGGATAACTTAGAGAGAGGTACCCTCTGCTTGGGACAAGGAGAGGCCTCAGGTGAACACTGGACTCATGCTAATAAAATCCAGCAGTGATTAGGCTCCCACAGCCCCAGTCTCCAGGTTTGTACCTGTAGATAGCCCCTAACCCTGCCTAGCACCATGGAGGATTCTGCAGCCCAAGACCATGTGCCGTGTTAGGCTGACCACAGCAGCTTCAGGCTTCAAGCCAATCCCAGTACCAAACCAGTTTCCAGAGTCTCACATGTGAGGCTGGTTCCAAAGGGGCTGGACACCCCAGTGCTGGGCTAGCCCCTGCAGTCTCAGTCATCAAGCTGGCACCTGTAGGTGCAGCTCTGGGTTCATCTACCTCCAGGCCCTAGCAAGGTTTCAGCCCAGTCCAGGCCTCAGATCAGCTCTATCCTGTAGGCTAATCTCTGCAGCTCCAATCTCCAGTCGACCTAAGACTCAGACCCACCCCAATAATACAGTTCCCGAAGAAGAGTTAAGAATAATCATTTAAAGGAGACTGTGAAGCTCAAGAAAATACAGAGAAACTAATAAAGAAAATGATATGGCAAAATGATAAGTTTAGCAGTTATTGAAATAGTTTAAAGAATAGAATTTTGGAGCTCAAAATGGTGACTGAAATGAAAAACGCAACATAGAATTGATCAAGCAGAAGGCCCTGAAGACAGGCTGTTTAAAACCTACAGTGAGAGGACAAAGAAATGGAAAGGATGGAGAACGCTTATTAGGTTTATAGGATAGAATCAGCTCAAGTATATGAGTTAAAATAATTAAAGAAAAGAAAGATGAGCACTTCCCAGTAATATGGTGAGAAAGACCGGCATTTCTAGGAAGATGGCAGTTGAAAGGCTGCTTCTGGGAGAGCAGGTGAAGGAGAGATTTGGAATAAGAAAAAAAAAAAAAAAAAAACATTTTTTTTTTTGGTCTTTTTGAGACAGGGTCTCCCTGTAGCATCAGCTGTCCTGGAACTTACTGTGTAGACCAGGCTGGCCTTGAACTCACAGAATTCCGCCTGCCTCTGTCTCCCGAGTGCTGGGATTAAAGGCGTGAGCCACCACACCCAGCCAGATTATTATCTTAAAAGGAGACATTGAAGAAAAGTTTCAGAAATCCAAGAAGGAAGTGAAAGATATTGGAAAAGAGAAGAAGCCAAGTTATGCTGCTGTGGCTCAGCTGGGCATGCTCTGGTTGGCGGAAGAGGTCCAGAAATATTTTTCAAAAGTAGTCCTACCCTCAGGACAAGCTCACAGCCCTCATGAGCCTCAAAGCCAGTTGGTTTTGGTGGACAATTTGCTGTGGACAGCAATTCCACTTTGTCATGCTGTATGACCCAGAGAGTAGTGGCCTGGGGCTGTTGTGAGTGTCAGATCACATATAAGGCAGTTGGGTTTGATCTGCAGCAGATGTGTCAGCAGGAATCTTAAAAGGTTAGAAGAGCCTGAGATGATATATTCATAGTGTTGGAAGGGAAAAAAATAAAACCTTGCCAACCAAGAAAACTGCCTTCAGCCCAGCTGCCCTTCAGCATGGAGAAGCAGTAAAGCCTTTCCCAGACAAGGCTGAAGTGTTCACTTTGTAAGATCTGTCTTACAAAATAGGCTGCAGAGAGTTCTTGAGCTGAAAGAAGGGGGCCAGTTCACACAGGAAAGTATAAAAACCCACTGGCAAAAGTAATTGTAGTCGCCTGGCATAGTGGTGCACACATTTAATCCAGAGGCAGAGGCAGAGGCAGATGGATCTGTGTGAAGATCGAGGTAAGCCTGGTCTACATAGTGAGTTCAGGCCAGCTGGAGTCACTGGAAGACCCTGTCTCAAAGGAAAAAAAAAGTAATTACGATCAGAATACTCTAATACTGTTACAATTTTAGTAAGTCATTTTTATCTTTAATATGAATATTAAGAGACAAAACTTAAAAAAATTTTTATTGAATTTTTGTGTATTTTATCCAATAGCTCAAACAATCTTAATCATCTTTTATACCCCTGTTCCTATCTGCACACTCCCACAGCCCCCCTACTGGAACCCATATACTCTGTCATCTGTATTACGGCCCAGTGTATCCCAGATGTTTCCCTGTGCAAGTCCATCCACTGAGTCTAGTCAGCCTATCCACAGTCTCTTGTTTTAGGAGACAAAACTTTAAAAAAAAATAGCTGTAATAATTTATTGATGGATAACCTGCTAGGATGGCTTCACTATTGATTTTTGTTTTAATATTTAAAGAATAATTAGTATAGTCTTAGACATTCCCCAAAACTTGAAAACAGTGAAATACTTCCAAACTCATTTTATAAGGCAAGTATTACTTTGATATCAAAACCAGACAAGGACATTTCAAGAAAAGAAAATTAACAGGCCAGCAGCATCCCTGATGTTATGGTTTGTAAGAGCCAGAGGCCTGGGAGGTCTGCTACAAACTTTGTGTTCTGGGTGTGACAGGGCCCTGAACTCCCAGCAGCTATGGTTACCTGCAAAAGACCTGCGCAAGATCAAGCCAGTCAGTGTCCAGCATGGAGGGGGAGGGCCTCGTGAGCCTGAATCCCTAGCTGAGAAGGTTTTCTTCTCAGATGGGAAGGAGAGTCAGTTTTCTTCAGGAATATGGCCCCAGGCAGGTCGCCCATGCTCCAGTCTATCGCTTTATACCCATTAGACTGAGTGGGTTATTTAAAAAAAAGAGAGAGAAAGAGAAGAGAACATGAAGTGGGGATGGGGATGGAGTGATGGTGGAAGTTTGGGAGAAGTTGAAGGGGGGAGTGTGGGGTAGGCAGATATACTGTAAATACATTGTATACATGTATGAAATTACCAAAGAATACATTTGCAAAATTGTCATGAAGAAGAAAATCCAGCAGCTTTCCCCCCAACAGAACTAGAGAAACCAGTCACAAAATTTGTAGAGGACTTCAGAAGTTCTCAGGTAGCCAAAGCAGTCTTTGTGAAGGATAGTCACCCTGGAACTGTCAAATTTCTTGTCTACAAAATATGTTACAAAGCTATAATGATCGGAACAACCCTTGGAACAGAAGACAGACCAGAATTAGTCCCATGTATTTACAAGTCAGTTGGTTTTTGACAGAGGTGTCGAGAATGTAGAAGAGAGGAAAGGCAGTCCTTCGGTTAGTGAGGTCGGGAAATGATACCCACTGGCAGGTGATCGGTACCTGCAGCCCTCCCATCGAGAGTTGTTTAAGTGCGCCTCCTTAGGCCTGTTTTCGGTCTGACCTGCATGGCTCTTTCCTTCCTCACTCTATTTTCTTTCTATGTGTTGTGCCCTTGCTGTTCTAGTATGAAATTTTATTGTTTTGAGTTCTCTGGTTGAATAAGCTCATGGAGAGTGGAGGCTTTGTTTTCTCTACTTGGCATTCTAGTTAGGCCTCAGTAAGTACGGGCTAAAGAAAAGACTGAATACATAAATGTGTGAAAAAGCAAAGCTCTGGAATCTGCCACTCACTTCTATGAGATCTTGGGCAAATAATTTAACTTTTCTTAGGTTTAATGTTTTCTATAAAACCATAGTAGTAAGAGAACTTGTGTCATTGGGTTGCTGCGAAGATTAAATTAGTTGATATTTGTAACATGCTAAATATTATGACAGTACTCTAAAGAAAACTGAAGTTAGCTATTTTGCCGTTTTCCTTGCATTTGGCATGTTACACAGAGTGCCCATTGTATGTGACAAGGACTATGTGTCATCCCTTTAAAGGGCTCAAGTGAAATAGAATTCTTTTCCCTTTTTCTGTTTTTCTAGGGAATGCAAAGAGCAACTAATGTCACCTACCAAGCTCACCATGTCAGCAGGAACAAGAGGGGTCAGGTGGTGGGGACCAGAGGCGGCTTCCGTGGTTGCACAGTTTGGCTAACAGGTATGGTCAAGCGAGAACTGAGAATGTGGAGTAGGTGTGCTGTCTGTAAGCCCAACTTGGGAGGTCAAGACCAAAGGGTCATGACTTTGAGGCTAGCCTAGGTGATATAATAAAACCCTGTTTCAGAAAGGAATACAAAGGACAGAGAGAGGAGGAGAGAGAGAGAGAGAGAGAGAGAGAGAGAGAGAGAGAGGAGAGAGAGAACATGCATTGTGTGTCTTGGATTACAAGTAAGCATATTTAATTTTGAGCTCTACTAATGTTCTAACAAGGACAGTGGATGACAGAGGTAGTTGCTTAGTAATGTATTTATTGTAATATATTTTGTTCTTTTATAAGATTACTGTTAAAATAAAAGGTAAAATTCAAAATGTATCTTAAGTTTTTAGTACATACCATACTTTTACACTTTTGAGTACAAATAAGACCTGGATTCTTCAAGAAACTGATAATTGAGCTGGAATGATGGCGCCTGCCTGTAACCTTAGACCTTGGGCAGCTGAGGCAGAGAATTCCAGTAGTTTGAGGTGTACTGTGAGTTCGAGATCTGCCTGAGTGAAATCAAGACCCTGGCCCCCAAAACAAAGATGAAGAGAAGACCTCCTTGGGTGATCTGAAGCAGCGCGGGACGTGGGTGCCAGTGGGCGTAGAGGAGCCACCAGAGGTACAGACGATGGCAGGCAGTGTGGGTGGGCGGCCGAATGCAAGCTGCCCTGTCCTTTGCTGTGATGAGGCCTTTGCCTCCAGCAGCCCTGAAGTGCGGGGTGTGTTCCTTGGTTTTTCTAGGAAACTGCAGTCTACATTTGGGGAAGATTTCTTCAGGCTTCTTCCTCAAATATCGTGGCATAGAGGGAGTCCTTCCTTCCCCAGTTTTATAAACACTGAACAGAAACAAAACAACATTGCTGGTGTGAGGCTGTTCATCCACATACCAAAAGGTCACATTGTTCTCCACATGTGTACTGTTACTATGCAGCTATCAAAAGTAAGCCATTAAAAGACAAAAAGATACTATTTTTCTCTTGGAATTTAGCTTTTTCCCTAAAATCTGTCTTAGATGTTAGGTGATTCATGATACTGTTTTTCTGGATACAGTCTAATTTACCAGGTTTCATTTCATAAGTTTTCTTGCTTTGTATTTTCATATTGGTTGGTATATCAGCTTCTAGGGCTGTTGTAGCAAATCAGCAAAAACTAGTAGCTTCAAACAACAGAAGTCTATTCTCTCACAGTTCTGGTAGAAAATTGACTGTGGGGTGGTTCCTTCTGGAGGCCCAGGGGAATCTGTCCACTCTTCTCCTAGTAACTGGGGTTTCTTGCACTCACTACCCTTCTTTCGTTTATAGATCATTCCTATCTCTGCTTAGAAGGACAGCAGTCCATGGATTGGGGCCCATCCTAATGTGCAAAGCCTCTCTTTCCACTTGAGGTCACAATCTGAGGCTCCTGGTGGACATGAGTACTTGGGGGATGCTATTCAACTTGGTACACCTGGCTCATGTTCTTTGGCTATAATGGATTTATTGAGTTCAGTTTTAGCTTATCTAATATGATTTTTCTTTCTTTTTCTGTCTGTAGTGTAATCATCCTGATAAAACTTTGTCAACCACTCAGTTTTCAAGTATCTATTCTTTAAAAGTATACATATATATAAAATACAGACGAATATACACATAAGCATTAACAGACTCTTCTTTTGAAATTTAGGTTGTCTTTTTTTGTGTTCAGAATTTAACCTTTTCAGGTTTCATTTGTTTTCCTCCTGTCACTTGGTATTTAAACTAGTGTTTAAAACTGACAACAAAGCTGAGTGTTGTGCACACCTGTAAATCCCAACACTTGGGAGGCTGCTCTGTGCTCAAGGCTAGTGTGGGCTACAAAGTGAGTTCAAGGCCAGCCTGAGATACATTACAGAACCCTGTTTCAAAAAACAGAACAAAAGAAGGAAATGAGTATCATGTCCGTTCCCATTACTGTTGTGTCACAGCTCATCCAAAGCATAATGGACGGGAAAACAGCCTCTTTGCTTCTTACCGTTGGGTGGCAGAGAGCTCAGTGGTCCGTATTTGCTTGGATCTCCCTTGGTTACAGTCAAGATTCCTTGTAATGCACTTCCTGAGGACTGTGCAGGGTTGGACATCCGTTTGTCAGCTGGAAGCTCAGGTGGTTGGCACTGTCGACCGGAACATGTGCTGGTGATCTCTAGCAGAGTGGTCTCAGGGTGTTCTCTAGTTGGGCTTCTCTCAGGTGACCATTGCAGGAGCCATGTCTAGTTCAGCCTTGGACTGCATTCATCACTCACTACATTCTTTTGGCTGCAGGTGAATCAGCCAGCCCAGACTCCAGAGGAGGGCGGTAGACTGTAACGGCTGAAGGGACGGTGACAGATCGCTTTCTGGAAGAGTTCATGGGGCAGGCTCTTCTGTTTTGGATGTCTTTGCAGAAGCATTGTTTCCTCTGCTCATTAAAGCCGCTGGTGCTGTAGAGAGCTTCTCAGCCTGTCCTCTTTTCTGTAGAGAGCTTCTCAGCCTGTCCTCTTTTCTGTAGAGAGCTTCTCAGCCTGTCCTCTTTTCTGTAGAGAGCTTCTCAGCCCGTCCTCTTTTCTGTAGTCTTCTTTTCGGGTAGCTTTCTGTGCTGATTTTTGTTCCAGAATGTTGGCGTATTTGACTTTGGTATTTTGTCTCTTGCATTGTCTTTCCCTTGAGCCTGCTCTATAATTACACAGTCATCAAGGTGGCGAGGTTTTAGAATATACGTTTTTTTCTTTCTCCTAGTCTTTTAGTGAAAACACTGGAGAGGAGGGTGAACTGAAATTAGGACCTTCTTGTCAGGGTAATTATATTCGGAATTGGATTCCCAGATAACTATTATCGTGGTAGTCCACAGACGGCCTGATCCTGGAATATGAAGGTGACTTCATGATGACTCATTTGCTTTTCTCCCTCTTTTTCTTCCCTTATCAGAGCTAATTGGGGCATTTGATAAATAATTAAAACTTTAAAATCCGACATAGGGCTTTGAATACTGTTAACAAGGACAAAATGAATATATGTACCCAACTACAACACTAAAATTGGTAAATCCCCTTTGAAATTTATTGATGATGTCTAAGGTACTTTTAGGCATAGTTATAAGTTATCAAAAATAAATGCTTAAGAAAAATACTCTCAAACCTCTCAAGGCTTTTTTTTTTTTTTTGTCTTTTTGATGCAGGGTCTCCCTGTAGCCCCAGCTGTCCTGGAACTCACTATGTAGACCAGTTGGCCTTGAACTCACACGGCTCTGCCTGCCTCTGCCTCCCAAGTGCTGGGACTACAGGAGTGTGCCACCATGCCCAGCTTTATGTCTAAACTATAGATTATTTTGTAGGTAAGAGGTCAGTCTTTTTATTTATTTATTGTTATTTTATGTATATGAGTGTTTTGCCTGGTGTATGAAGGTGCACCATGTAGGTGCAGTGCCTATGGGGGGTCAGAAGAGGGTGTTGGATCCCCTGGAACTGGAATTACCAACAGTTGTTAACTGTCATGTGGGTGCTGGGAACCAAACCCAAATCTTCTGCAAGAGCAGCAAGTGCTCTTAACTGCTGAACCATCTCTCTGGGTCCCAACGAGGTCAGTCTTAAAGGAGCACGGGATAAGTGTTTGTGAGAGATTGCTCCTGTGAATAATAAGTGTAATTAATCTCGTCATTAGAATTCTTCATTACTAATAGCTACCCTTTTGACTTTACACGTGGAGTTTGTTTGGACTGTTCTCTTTTAGGCTTGTCTGGAGCAGGGAAGACAACGGTGAGCATGGCTCTGGAGGAGTACCTGGTTTGCCATGGCATTCCATGCTACACTTTGGATGGCGACAATATCCGTCAAGGTCTCAACAAAAACCTTGGCTTCAGTCCTGAAGACAGAGAGGAGAATGTCCGCCGCATCGCAGAGGTTGCTAAGCTGTTTGCTGATGCTGGCTTAGTGTGTATCACAAGTTTTATATCTCCTTATACGCAGGTGTGTAGCTTTCGTGCCATTACGCTTTGGTTACGTTATTGAAACTAGTACCAGGCAGAGCATAGGATTTAAACATTGGCCTGCGTTTTGAAGCTAAATCCAACTTTTTCCCTGAAATTCAAATAACCTAAAACAATTATGTGCTGTGATCCCTGCCCCACCCCCCCCCCCGATGTCTGTGTTTTGTTTAACGTGGGTCGATGTTCCCCCCCCCCCCCCCCCCCCAGTAGATTCAGTTTTGGTAAAACCTGGTGTTGAAAACTCCAGTAATATAACAGAATTGTTGAGGTAAAGCCAATGGCCAATCTATTTCAAGTTTACCATATATGTGTATGTGTGTGTGTGTGTGTGTGTGTGTGTGTGTGTATTTAACTTGGCTGCAAAGTACTTTTCATTTGTTTTTGATAATATAGTACATTCAACTTGTGTGACCACTTTTTATTGTTTCTGTGCATGCTCTTTTTTTTTTTTTTTAATTAAAGGATCGCAACAATGCAAGGCAAATTCATGAGGGTGCAAGCTTACCTTTTTTTGAGGTATTTGTTGATGCTCCCCTGCATGTTTGTGAACAGAGGGATGTCAAAGGACTCTACAAGAAAGCACGAGCCGGAGAAATTAAAGGCAAGGAACTTTTTTTCCTGTTTCTCTTTGCTTGGATAGTGTATCTTCCGTATGGGACTGAGCGTCTTCTCTGAGAGACTGGGGTGTGTAAATAACTTGGGCTTACTGAGGAGGG